CTATGTACTGTATTAATGTTACGGTTTATTATTGAGAAAGTGGCTTCTGTGAGCTACTTAAAAGACTAAATAGGCATAATATTCGGATAGATTTTTGTTTTCATTATTCTAATTTTAACATTTTTAGGTGGCCTTTTTTTACGAATGTGACTCTTATTTGAATTGAAATAACGCATGGTCTAATTCCTAAAATTAATCTAAAAAAAAGTTGATTTCATTTCATTAAGATTTTGTTAGGTTGTTAATAACTTTATTACAACTTATTCTCTCAAATACATTATGTAGATTAAATGTTGAACATTTGTAAATATATAATTGCACATTAATTTTGCATGTATAGTCCTTGCCATACTAGTTATAGTTTTTATACATATATCATTAAAATAAGGGGCCCGTTCTACCCCCCGCCATTTTTTACATAATCTGTGATATAATGGAGTGACGAGCATAATATTTCAAGGAGCGTTCAAAAGTTCTTGAGAAAACCCATTAATTTGCATTAAAGGCATACTTTCTGCTCATTAATTGTAATTAATGCAAAAGAAATAGGTTTTAGAAGTTTTTATTTCAGTCTGCATATTCATCGTCATCATTCAATACATCATCATCATTACAGCCCTTCACAACTCCACTGCTGAACATAGGCCTCCCCCAAGTAATGCCACAAAGCACGGTCCTGAGCCACCTGCATCCATCGACTTCCTGCATGTCTTACCAGGTCGTCACTCCATCTAGTGGGGGGTCGCCCTACACTACGCCTACCGGTACGAGGCTGCCACTCGAGAACCTTTCTTCCCCATCGGTTATCGGTTCTTCGAGCTATATGGCCGGCCCATTGCCACTTCAGCTTACTAATCCGTTGGGCTATGTCGGTCACTCTGGTTTCACTGCGGATATCCTCATTTCTGAGTCTATCACGCAGAGAAACTCCGAGCATAGCCCTCTCCATAGCTCGCTGAGCGACCTTAAGCGTCCTCATACGGCCAGCAGTGAAGGACCACGTCTCAGATCCGTAAGTCATCACTGGCAACACGCACTGGTTGTACAATCTAGTTTTTAGAGATTGAGGTATACCTGACGAAAAGATATGCCGTAATTTCCCGAACGCTGCCCAGCCGAGTTGAATCCGTCGATTGACCTCTCGGTCGAAGTTGGACTTACCTAGTCGGACTATTTGTCCCAGGTAAACGTATTCGTCAACAACTTCGAGCATAGTGCTCCCAACAACTACCGGCATAGGTGTGACATGGACATTGAACATGATCTTTGTTTTGTCCATGTTCATCTTAAGACCTATCCGTTGGGAGGCACTATTGAGGTCATTGAGCATAGTGCTTAAGTCCTCCAGTGATTCTGCCATAAGGACTATATCATCGGCAAATCGAAGGTGAGTGATGTACTCGCCATTGATGTCAATACCGTATCCTTTCCAGTCCAGTAGCTTGAAAACGTCTTCCAATGCAGCGGTGAAGAGTTTCGGGGATATAACGTCACCCTGTCTTACACCTCTCTGCAGTTGGATAGGTTTCGAGCTCTGGTTCTGTACTCGGATAGCCATCGTAGCCCTACTGTACAAACACTTCAGCACTTCGATATACCGACAGTCAACTTGGCACCGCTGAAGGGACTGTAGCACCGCCCAAATTTCGACGGAATCAAAGGCTTTCTCATAGTCCACATACGCCAGGCAAAGTGGCAGATTGTACTCTTCAGTCTTCCGTACAATCTGCCGCAGGGTATGTATGTGGTCTATGGTACTGAAGCCTTTTCGGAAACCGGCTTGTTCGGGAGGCTGGAAGTCGTCAAGTCTGCGTGCGAGACGATTCGTAATGACTCTCGAAAACAGCACGTAGACGCGGCTCAGAAGGGAAATCGGTCTGTAGTTCTTTAAGAGAGCGTTGTCGCCTTTCTTAAAGAACAAGACCACCGCACTTCTGCTCCACGCCTCTGGAGTAGTGCCACCATGGAGGACGGAATTGAAGAGCTTCTGAAGGACTTCAAGTACCGGTGTTCCACCCGCTTTCAGAAGCTCCGCTGTAATTCCATCCTCGCCTGGGGCCCTGCCGTTTTTAAGGTGCTGGAGAGCTATTCTAATCTCGCTTAGACTGACGTCCGGGATATCATCGGAATATTGTCGGATAAGACTTGCTCTTGGATCGTTACTCACACTTGCGTGTGGCTCCAACGATGATGTGTACAGCTGCCCATAGAACCTCTCAATCTCACTCAAAATCTCAGGTGTCCCGGAAACGATGTTGCCACACTCAGTCTTCAGCCTTGACAGTTGGCTCTTTCTGGCAGACAGATCTCTGGCAAAGACTTTGGAGCCCTGGTTCCGCTCGATCGCTTCTTTAATACGAGAAGTATTAAAGTTGCGTAAGTCTCGCCGTATGCATTTGGAGATCTGTCTGTTCAGTTGCCTGTATGCTGTCAAATCTGTTGACGATTGCAGCCTCATCTCCCGTCTAACAGCCATGAGATTAAGAGTGTGATCGGAGAGTTTTTGTGTTCTTCTGCGGCGGGTCTTGCAGAACTTAGCTCCGACCGCATGGACAGTTTCCACGAGCTTGTCGTTCATATCGTCCACTGCATTGCAATCTTCTAGGCACTGGAAGCGGTTACGTAACTCGAGCTGAAAGGTTTCGGGATTCTGGATTAGAGCACGAGGGGGACGGAGCGTTGACTTCATTAGACGAGACCTCTCCAACTTAACGTTTAGGTTCAGTGTGCCTCTAACCATTCGGTGATCGCTGCCAGTTTTCACCCTTGCGATCACTGAGACATCACTGAACAGTTGGCGTCTGGTCGTCATAATGAAGTCAATCTCATTTTTTGTCGAACCGTCGGGGCTCGACCAGGTCCACTTCCTGTGGGGCCGCTTCTGGAAGAAAGAGTTCATCATAAAGAGTCCCTCTTTCTCCATAAAGTCGGCCAGCTGCTGGCCCCTTCGGTTCCGTTGCCCTACTCCAAATTTCCCTACCTTCAGCTCACCGCTTTCTCTTGTGCCCAGTTTTGCGTTGAAGTCTCCCATCAACACCGTGTAGTAGGTTTTGGAGGAATGTATGGCTCTGGAAATATCCTCATACATTTCCTCCACCTCCTCATCGGGATGTGCCGAGGTTGGTGCGTAAACCTGAATGACCTTCAGCGAATACCGTTTGGTGATTCTGAGTATCAGGTACGCGACCCTCGTCGACACACTCCCAATCTTTACAACGTTGTTGACGAGAGATTTGTGGACGATAAATCCGACACCTCCTTGGGACAGATGGTCGCCCTCCCGGTGATAGAACAAGTTGCCGGACTCGAGGATTGCCGTGTCCTCCCCCTCTCTTCGGACCTCGGATAATCCAATAATATGCCAGCGCAACTTGTCTACCTCTTCTTCCAGCTCCAGTATCTTCTCGTCAGTCCTCAGGGTGCGTGCGTTATATGTTGCCAGGTCGAGTCGTCGTAGGTGGCAACCGAACCTCCACCGGAGATTCTTAGCACCCCCTGCCCCGCCGTTACCATGGTCGCCACCGTAGCCAGGAATAGCGGGGCCGCCGGGGACTGGGGGCCATCTGTTTGTGTATTTATTCATTGGGGGGTATTTGCCATAGTTGCCACGCTTGGCGAGCGGGTTGGCAACCGCAGTTATTTATTACGTCACAGTTGTCATCAGGAAGACGCTGCTGCCCATCTCCTGCCTGTCTCCCTCTGTCGCCTCTTACGACACCCTCGGGAAGATATGGGGTAGTGGATATTCTTAACCGCCACTACACGCCACTACACGGCATTCATCATTACAGTCTATAAAACTCCACTGCTGAACATATGCCTCCCTATAGATGGCGTATAGGAATATTTGCCATTGCTGCCACGCTTGCTAGACTTGACAACCGTTGTTTTTTATTTTCTAGTTAGTCGTATCAAGAAGACGTCCATCTCCTGGTTCCTTTCACTCTGTCGCCTCATACGACTATCAAGGGACGACTTGGTGTAGTGGATATTGTTAAACCTCCACTACACGGTTTACAAATTACAAATTTGAATTATATCTCTTTAATTGCAAGTTGTGAGGCATTTTGTTGCAGTCCTTACAAGTGAGAACGTATCTACGGTCTTCTTATTTTTCTACAGTTGTAGACTGTAGTAACCTGTAGCAACCTGTAGTTGGTCTGTTTGCATGTTACACTTTTTTATATTGAGAGGTTTTAATGATTTCTTATATTTTCGCGAACGCTACACATTGATTAAAACTACGTTTACAGAGTTTTTCGCGATTAATTTATTTGATTTTTAATTTACGACGTTTCGGGTGCTTTCCAGCACCCTTGCTCACGGGAGGACTAAGGTGACTGACGTCCCGATGTCGCCTGATTTATATTATATTTGATTTTTTATTCAAATAACGAGTTCAGTTTTTTCTATTATTCCTACACAAAAAATATTATTCGTATTCACAGTATGAGTATCTAACCAAAACACACGAATTAAAAAAAACAGAGCGAAAAATACCGAGCAAAGCTCGGTCAACCGTGTACTTTAAATAAATAAAGCATCCTAATATCTTTAACATTCTAGTGATTTAATGATTAAAACTACTCGATTAAAACTACTCGGGTGCCATTTATCTACGCTCTCGATTTCTGCGTAGATTGGACCATAACTAATAATTAAAAAGCTGAAGGTACTTACTATATATATATACAAGAATTGCTCGTTTAAAGGTATAGGATAGGATAACGTTTCACTTACCAATGTTTATCCATATAGGTGTCATCTCAAAGAATTTTTATTCTGTAACGCCCAGCGAAGCTCTTTCGCCCAAGTACTAAGTATTAAAATTGCAATTAATTCTTATAGAAACTTTGAACTCTCCTTGCAAATAACTAAAATACACAACTTACTAACAAAAACATCAGAGCTCACAAAATTCTAAACCACTAGTCATTAATATACACAATATCAATAATTTTTAATTAAATTTTAATATACTAATAAACTGTTTGTGTTAGTTGCGGGTCGCAAGCTCACAACAGCCGGTAGAAGGGTACCGAGCAGCGGTGGCGGGCCACTGATGAAGTCCCAAACCCTGCCCAGGTCCATGGGCCGCTCGTCATCACAACCCAACAGCTCCAACGGTGGCTATGGCCGCTACCCTGTAAAACCTGCGTCCACACCCCCAGCTGTGAAACGACAGCTTTCGGTGAGTATTTTTGTTATTACATTGTGATTTGCAAAGCACGCCATAAACGACCTTTTTAAGTGCAAGCACTACCACAGAATATATAATATTTGGCGCGCGCTGGATTTACCTTTTTGGTGCCCTAGACTTTTATAGTAAACTAGCGATCTGCCCCGGCTTCGCACGGGTGATATCTGGATTCTACAACTGCGCCACCTACCGGGTTGGATCTATTTTAACTTTGTAATGTTATTTGTAAAGTTACTTATTGCCATACTTTTTTTTCAAATTTAAACTGTGATTGTTATTAAACCAAATTAGTTAAATGTTGCCATATATACTGTATATTTTTCACGTTCACTCTTCAATATTGGTGTGCATTCGTTATTTTATAAGTTTCATTCAAAAATGTGTTTGATGATATACATCTACAATTATCCTCGATTAAGAATCAAAACGCAGATGTGTTGTCATCATAAAGAAAAACACAAAGTTTTTCGAAAAAACCCCTTTTTTAAAAACACCGCAAAAAAAAAAGTTGTCACCCTTGAGGACTAAGATGAAATGCCTCGATTCCAGTAAAAACGGTCACCGGTTCTCTACACTCACCATACGAAACACAGCAGCATAAAGCTGCTATTTTACGCTGGTATTCTGTGAGAGCGTGGTCCTTCCCCGGTCGAGTCGACCCATTTGTGTTACAACTATAACATAGCTGCAGCGTGGCTCTACCATGTAAAACTTTACGGCGAGCGCTTGGCTCCTGAGCAATCACGGATTACGTTTCGTATAACAGCTTTGTAATAATTCCATTTATCTATACAAATAAGGAAAAATGAAGTCTCTATCCGTAATATGAAATAATTATCTTTTGTAAAATTTTTGTCATTCTGTCGGTCTCTGTTTGACCGGGCTGATCTTCGGAAGGGTTGAACCGTTTGTGATGAAAAAAAAAAAGCGAAAACCCCCCCCCCCCCCCCCCCCCCCCCCAAAAAAAAAAAAAAAAAAAGATAAAGAGTAATTCCAGTAGGGGTCTAGGCTATATATTATCCGAAAAACTTGACGATTTTGATATTTAACCCTAGAAAGTTCAAGTCGAGAAAGGATAGGAAATTTCACGTTGAAAAGACATGTCCAAACAAATATTCGAGAGTTGCTGCCGAATAACGCTGCTGTAAACCAGAAAAAGGAACCAGCAGTCTTATATATTGCTCATACTGTTCGTCAAAAATAGGATAGGATATCGAAAATAACATGTTCTAAATGTGAAAGTTTGCGGGTCAACATAAAAGTGATCTAAGTAATGTATGTAGGTAGGATACCTTATTATGATTTAGGATACAAAACATTATTATTTTTATGTATAAATATTGACTAATATTTGAAACTATTGGAATACAAACTGATTTAACTCTCAAAATAAACATAATTTTTCTTAAAAGGTTGACTTCATACTTTATATTTGCTTTATAAAAGGTTTACAGAATATTCTTATTTTTTTAGATTATATATATTCCATTTCTCATAATAATTTTGGCTTATTTATTGGTACAAAACTCTAAAATATTTACCCAATCACCGATAAGTTGTTTAATTATGGTATTTGTCAAATATGCACATTTAAAGTTCAGTACGTCTTTAAGGCGTATGATTTTATCTTTAAAGTTGTTCTAAATAGGATTATGTTTCTAGGGTTAAAAACGAAAAATTGATAAAATATGTGGTCTAATTTACATCTAAATAACGACACATTAATAGATGCTATCCAGGCAAAGCAGGGTCACTAGTCGGTAATAAAAGTAAACGTAAGGAGGTCAAATAAGTCTACATATTATGTCCTTCTACCGGGGGTTAACCTCCGCTCATTTCTAAATGGGTTTTGCAGCAGGTAAAAGCCTGCCATTAATTACGTGTTTTTCTTGTTTTTCCACGATGTATTTTGACAGCGGTTAAAACTACAATTACACAATAATTCATTTCGACAGGAATCAAACTCTGCTACAAAGTTGTAAAACAAGTGTTTATCCTCTGAACTGCCATAGCTTACCTTAAAATATGTTGTGAATCGGCCTTAATTTTTGATATTTAACGTTCTCAAAATGGATATAAAGAAACTCAAAGTTCTTTGATTATTTTTTTTTATTTAAAAGAATATTAACAATGCTATAAACACTCGTGGTAAGCTTAAATTGCTTGTGTTACGAGTGGTTCACGCCAGTAGTCGAATAGCGGATTCGAACCCACGACCTTTTTGAGTTCGCGGTCCGCGCCCTGCCATTAGGCTACTGTCGCTTCGAATTCATTGTTATGTATTCCAATAAACTTTAAAAAATTATATTCAGACACCCAACTAGGAGTGTGGCAAAGACAGATGTGATACCGTCGTAATTTATATTTATTCAATATAATTAACTAAAAATAATATATCTGTATTAAAGATAAGTTGCGATGATTGTAAGACGTTTAAGAAAACACTTCTTTTAGCGGATAGGGTTTTTTTATTACTATAGCACTTAGACATGCTTTCATAGTCCCCAAGAGTGAAAAGGCTGTTAAATAAACATTAAGACCTACGTAAACCTTATACCTTAATGGAGGTAGTGTTTTGGGGCGTGTGGCGAAACGACGCTTTTTGCTGTCTTCAAAAAGACGATGGTTCTTAGTTGGACTATATTTTTTCCGCAATGTTACGCGATAATACGAAACTTTTACTACTGCGAAAATTTTGTAACGATTGTAATATTCTCATTAAGCAGCATCAGGGCAGCAGCATTTCACTGATAACAACTTAAAATAATAATAAAAAAAAACAGATGAGATAGCTGCTGATCCCCGCCCCACCAATGAAATTGTTAATTGCAATTCAAGTCGAAGCTGAAGAAACACTACGAACAGCATTGAAAAATAAAAATAAATGTTTCGAGGACGTAAAGTTGGGACAGCGCGACGGAAACTACCTTGCCCTAAAACCCTTTCAGAAATGAGAGTAGGCCTGTGCCCAGCAGTGGGACGTATATAGGCTGTAACTTTACTTTCAAGTTTAATAAAAAAAACTGCGTTTGCCAGCCCGCCTGCCAAGCGTGGCATTACCTACCACACTCCCGTACAAGAACATGGAACCTACATACCTCTTTCCTCCAGTTCATTAACTCCGTGGCATGTATGGCAAAATCGCCTTTATGAGGCAATCTAAAGTGGTTTAAGTTCAGCAGTGGACTTATAAGCTGTAATTGATGGAATGGATTTAATGATGCTCGTGTTTTGCACTCGTTGAATATTAAAAAGACAATCAGGAAATAACAATGAAGGCAAGACGCGTGTTTACATGCCAATATAATTGTAGATGCCGCTATGGTCAACCGCCGAGCCTCAGTGGTTAGGATCACATTTCAAAATAACTTTGCTATCCATATATATTAACAACAGAAATCTATCTACACGTGGTAGAACCACGCTATGTTTATTATGGTAAGTGTAGAGAATCGGAAACCCTTTAACTGGAAACGAGGCACTCTCCATTTTAGGCCTCAGGGGTGACAACAAATCTGCATTTTGATTCATATTCGAGGATAAATGTAGATGTCTATAGGCCACGGCATCCACTCATCATCAGGATGGATGGAATGTGAGTCCGTTTGTCATCCCTCTTCTATAAAAAAAATAATAATATAAAAATTGTAGTTAGTTCAGTCGTTTCACTTTTGTATTTAGTCAGTTACAACCTACAAACGTCCCACTGCTGGGCACAGGCATCCTCGCATTTCTGAGAGGGTTTGTTAAAAAAATAAAACATATAGGTATCTTATGCCTTCTCATGTATTACTATAAAATTGCACGATGGTATTGCTGCGTTTTGTATGGTGAGTGCTTAAAACCGAAGAGATTTTTTTTTCTGGTAAGAAAGCAATATACCATAGTCCTCGGAAGTCATTACGCAACTACGTTTTGAATCTTGATCGGGGCGAATCTAGATGCATGTGTCTGTTTTTAAGAGTATAGATACACTTACAATCCAAGTATGTCAATAAATAAGTTTAATAGTGTTATTAAAGAATTGTACAAAAAGGGTTATTATAATATCAAGGAATACTGAATGAAAATAACCCCTAGGAATGAGGTGCTCACCATTCTGATTCTAAAATCGTATAAAACTTGTACAAATTTGGTGTAAAGTTACGTATGTTTAAAAAAATATAATCCCGCTGGGTTCCTTGCAGGTTATTTTCAGAACGAAGGTGTTTTTCCCAACTAATGGTAAATAAAATAAACCAGGTTTGGCAGAAAAAGCGCTACAAGGCTTTAGCAAAATTATTAATTATTTTCCTCTAGGAAATTAGTTTTAAGGGAACTTACAATATAGGAGTACAATTAAAAACTTACCATTAATGTATATGCTATCTGTCATTATATTACTAAAACAGCAAAAAACAAAAACACCACAAAAACATATTCAATCGTGTCCGGCAAAACTTTTTTTCTGCCAACCTAAGTATTATGTAATAATCTATATTGAATAAAAATTACTATATTCTATTCTAGACGGGTTGACTGTGTTCATGTTTATCACCTGTATAAAAAACAAGGAAAAGTATACTTAACAAAAGTAATCAAAAATGGAAACTTTAGTCATTGTGTAGGTAAATATGAATACTGAAACAAATATTTCATATCTTTTGAGCTCATACAATCTCTTAATGAATGTCTTTGCCGGCGGAAGTAATTTGGCTCTTTTCAAGGCAAAATGAATTTTTTTTGTAGACTTGCCTCCCTTTGACAAAGCAATATATAAAAGCATAATGTCAGATGTTTATACGTCAATAAAATATAGTCAGTATTATATTATACATCAGTAAAATATATTTCAATATTAATGTTCGAATATAAATTTTAGAAGTTAACTTCTAAAATTTATATTCGAATTTACATCATCATCATAGTCATTACACTCACAAATTGCCAAACATCCCCCAAGTAACCACCAAGCTGTCCTACCCTGCATTTATCGACTTCATACATCTTATTAGGTTGTCACTCTACCTTGTGGGGGCTGCCTTACATTTCCCTTATTGGTAAGAGGCTACCACTTGAGAACCTTTCTTCCTCATCAATTGTCGGTTTTTTGAACTATATTCCCGACCCATTGCCACTTTACCTTACTGATTCTTTGGACGATTTTGAGTTTCCTAATACGGCCAGCAGTGAAGGACCACGTCTAAGGTCCATAGCATCCACGTCATCGATATCATTACGCACTGGTTGTACAATCTTATTAAATTACATCAATAACAGCCTAAATAGCTCACTGTTAGGCACTCTGTTATAAAGCTGCTGGACAAGAACTACTTCATCGAGCTGCTTCAGTATAAATGGTGGATTCAACAACCAATAGCCCTTGTTCTCTTTTTCATTTTTTCTCACTATGTTTCTTTGTATTTATAGCCCGTATACGCCTTTCTGGGTAAAAGTTTACACCCTGAGAGGGTTATGGAGCATCTTTAAAAAACTCAAACTTCAAAAGGCTTTGAAATATTTAATTATTTAAACATGTAGGTTTCCTCACTATGGCTTTATTCACCAACGAGCACTTGGTAAACCAGCACTTAAATTTACAATTAACAATATCATTAGTCGGTTGATTACATAACGATTCGAAAAAACATTGTATACAATAGCAAATTTGCTTGATTATATTCGCAATATCTCTAAAGGTTTCAATGTTTTGAAATACTCCAAGTAAATTGTTACTTTATTTTGAAACTTTACCTACCAAGCTTATATCGGACTCGGATTAATCTTGGCTCATAATTATCAGTGCTTTATTTACAGAGTTGATTCTGTGCCAAGACTAACAGCACATCGGTTTATTTATATAACGTTATAATATACAATAATAATTAAGTACAGATAAAAATATATCATAATATGTATTAAATATAATATTAAATTTTTTATTTAATAGAGCCACGCTGTTGCTATATATATATATATATATATATATATATATATATATATATATATATATATATATATATATATATATATATATATATAATAAATGCATAATATAATATAATATATGCAGCTTGCCAGGCAGACGTTGTTCTGTCCTTTACGACGATCCTTTGTTTAAAAATTTACTCATGGGCAAAAAACTATCCTATCTCTCAAGTTGGACCAAACTGCGTGCAAATTGATTAAAATCATTAGGTAAGTAGTTTAAATCCATCGCGGACAAACAACGTGACACGTAATTTATATATATTAAGATAATGGTTGAAAGTGAGAGTATATTCGTTAAGACTAGGTAATACCTGAATAGATGCAGTTCTTTGCTTTAGTTTTTAAATACTAAATTATTTATTTTCTCAGGAAAAATATCACATATAAAAAGTAGGAAGTTGTTATGTTTTATGGATCGACTTACTTTTACCACGAAAATCTCTTTTATTAGAAACGAAATTGCCTAGTTTTTAGTAATATGTCACGTTCGATAGTAATATTGAATGCTCAAAAATGGAGAGTATGTGAACGGAATATCCAATATGTTTTTACCAGTTTTTACAAAGTGCTCGAGCCCATCAAATGTTGTCGACCGAGCCTACGAATGAAGATTGTAGGAAAAATTTTGCATCTACAAAACTTTTGTACCTCGCAAGTAATCTCATTTCTTCAAACCTTGTTATACTAATATAAAAACTTATTTTTAATAAAATGAGTAGAAAGTTTGTTACAAATGCCGAATTTCATGGTTCTAATAACGAATATAATAAAAATATAACCATGTTTTGTTGATAAATATGGCCTTCATGTCATAAATTATGTCTTCTCGCCTGCTACAATGTTTACCCAGCAGACAAATGATTGTTCATTAATTATGTTACCATATATCTGCACACAACCGTCACGGCGCAAGTTCATCTACAAACCGTAGTCAGTCAGTCAAAAAACTTCCGACGTAACAGTTGAGAAAGGATAGAAATGAGTATGACTGAAAATATTTACGAGGTAGAGTCACACTGCAGCTATATTATGGTTGTAGCACGTATGGGACTGCTCGCCGGGGTAAGACCACGCTCTCATGGAATAACAGCGTAAAATAGCAGCTTAATTCTACGAGCCGACCCATTCGTGCTAAACTAGTTGTAGCACGAATGGGTCGGCTCGACGGGGAAGGACCACGCTCTCACAGAATACCAACGTAAAATGCTGCTGTGTGCTTACGCATTTGCATTTAGACTTTTAATTGAAGTTAAATGTAGACGTCTATAGGCCGCAGCATCCACTTACCATCAGGTGGACTATGTGTTCATTTTTCGCCTCTTTTTTCTATAAAAAAACTTTAATTTGTGTGGTAAACCGTTCGTAGCCTTTCCTTTTTATTAAGTTACCCCAAATTTTCGGAAGGCAAATACAAATACTTCGTCATGCAATTACGTTTTCCGTCCGAGAATCAAACTCACGACCAACAACATTCCAAACGTATTGGCTCGAGCTACCGAGGCGTCAAACTTCCATGCAATCGTGTATTTTGTTATTTTTCTGACTTAACTTCATAAATCCAGGGTGGCTATCAGGTACCAGTTAACGGGTCGCCCGTACGCCGTGCCGGGTCGCAACGCGGGACCCCCACTCGCAGCCGCACGCCGCAGTCGTTGAGCGTACGCGGCGTCGACCCCAAACTGGTCCAACTCATACTCGACGAGATCATCGAAGGCGGGCCCAAGGTGCACTGGGACGACATCGCTGGACAGGAGGTGAGGATACTTCCACTTATTAATTTGTAGTGTCTTTTCGACAGGACGATGATAAAGGGACGAACGATGTCGTAATTAACTGTAGTCACTTTAAGAGTACCGTGTGCTGGCGGTGTAGGAATATCCACTAACTCATATCGTCCCGAAGGTGTCGTAAGTGACGATAGAGGAAAAGTGAAACAAAAAAGGGGCAGTACCATCTTCCTGGTCACTATACAAAATATTTAAAAAAAATTGCGATTTCCAAACCCCCCTAAGGTTAGTTAGTTAAGGGGAGGCCTATGTTAAGCAGTGAAATTTTATGGACTGTAATGAATGGAATGGTCATAAATATCTTTTAACCGGCAAAAAACAATCAAAAGTATTAAGAATATACTTAAAAACAGCCAGTATGCAGGCAAGGAGACATTTCATCTCAGTCCTCAGCGGTGACAACGCGACTATAGACTTCTTTATTCGAAGCTGGCTGTAGCTGTCCAAGGGTTGCCAGTAGGCACTTACCATCAGGTGGACTGTTAGTTCGTTTGTTACTGTATGCGTGGTCACGCTGCAGCTATATTAAAATATATCAAAGATAGAGCATTGTAAGTATAGTTGTAGCACGAATGGGTCGGCTCGACCGGGGTAGTACCACGCTCTCACAGAATACCAGCGTAAAGGACGATAAATGTAGATGTCTATGGGCCACAGCATCCACTTATCATCAGGTGGACTGAGTGCTCGTCTGTCACCCTTATTCTATTAAAAAACTTTATATTTATTAAAAAAAAAAACATTTTGGTCTTAAGTAGTTTTAAATGAAAAGATATTGGTTAAAAGACGTTTGACTGAAAAATACCGATAATAAGAAGTTTTACCAAGACTGGTAGTTAAAAATATTTTCAGTATTTTTTTGCCAATAGATTTTACCACAAATTACATTTTCCATATGCTATACTAGTTTATTCATAAACCTTACAGGATCAACTGGTTGTCTGCGGCAACCGACTGTCGCTGATATTTCTTTTTTTAAATATCAGTAACAGTAGTTCGAGGTGCGGCAACCTCAAAGCCGCGGACTTCTATTTGATCACAGGCATAAGAGAAACTAGTTTGTCCTAAAACCGTGTTTGGCCGGTAACGAAATGCTTTTGACTTATATTGTCGTTAAAACTAGTTTTCATCTGAAAATAGTTCTGACTGTAACATATACAGTCAGAACTATTTTCAGTAGGCATTTCCTAAACCACCACTCCAAACTTCACTTAACCTGGTCTTCGTCTTCACGCATCAATTTGCTACCAGCCTTCGTCGCACCATCTAGCCAAAGAGCGTCCCACATTACGTTGAGTACGCGCGGTCTCCACTCCTTGACGTCTGTCGTGACCAGCCCTTACCGTTTTAGTTTACAAAGCGCAATACTATGGCAGTAACTTTGTCTACGGCGGAAATACATTTAATACTCCTCAATCTCTAAACAACGTCCATTAAAATATTCTTGAAAAAAGTTAAATAATAATAAGGCTACTTAATTACTATTTTAAAACCAATTTGATGGCCTTAAAATGTAAAATTTACATACCTAAAACCAATGCAAAATGTGTAATATTTTTTAATTTGATAACTCACCGGACTGAAACAGGAATCATCAGGTGTTATGCCATACAAATTGTTGTACAGTCATAATTTTCAGAATAATTACATACATTCCCTTTGGGAAATTAATACAGTCTGCTTCCAATTATTTTCTTATATGAAAACTAATGGAACGAATGCTTCGAGCTTAGTTTTAACAATTAATGAAAATTAACATTTTATGCCCGATTTCTGTATTCAAGAAACGTTTCGTTCTCCATTATGATCCATTTTGCTAAATAAAAAGCCTGTCTATTACAAACGTCAAGAAAAAAATTTTAGCACCTAAAGTACATTTTTCACAATGTTTGTGCCTCCGAAGCGACCAAAACCTCATTATCATCTTAAAATTTCGATTTATAAATGCGGTAGGTAAAACCAGATATTTGCTTACAAGTTTGTTCAGTTTCTTGTCGTTAATAGCCTCGCACAATCTTGTAATACAGTGGCTAGTTTATCAAATTATTCCAACATTATTACCTTTATCGTAAAAACAACAGACCTTTCTTTTTGGAGAGGACTGATTTTCAAAAAAACATATTTTACATCCGTCCATTATGATGAATCAAGACCAAAGAAGTCATGTCATTCTGATAAGATTCAAATAAGATTCAGATCAAGGTTTTATTTATTCAAATCAAATATTTAATAATATTTAACTATTATTTTATATATGCTTTTTTCTGTATAAATGACGAAACAAATTTTACGCGTACATACTTTATATTTTCGCGCACCCCGCGTGTTTATTATATCTAACTCATCGATATATATGTACTACGCACTAGATTTCGCATTCCGAACACACACTATTTCAACTGAACTGTACTGCAATCATTACAGTTCAGTATTGACTGGGAACTATACTGATTAGTATAGTTCCCAGTCATGTTATTGTGGCTTCGATATTCATGCATTGCGGAGAGGCGCTAATAATACGAAAATTAAATTAGCACACATGCAAAATAAACGAAAATAAAAAATGTACTCGATTAACAATACAATCTAAATAAACAATTATTTATTACGACAATTTTCGCGCGTTTATATCAACTGCGCACGCGCGACTCTACTGTTTCCCGCGCATGTGCGGATATAGAGTAGTGCACATTTTTTGTTTGGAATAGCTTCTCTTAGTACGTAGTACATATTATAACTCAATGATCTAACCGAATAAAATCAGATGTCAGCGCCTGCTGTTATTCGGTTAGATTCGGTTGTCAATCGAATGTAATAAAACTCTAATCAAAGTAATAGGCCCCGCCGTTGTCACGAAATGCTCGCAAGCAGACCGACAGACAAAAATTCTGAAAACTATTGTTTGCCTTCTATGCCTGACAAAATATCTACATTTTAATTAATTAAAGAACATAAAGCCATTTATACACAAATTATACTCGTTATATAAGAGGAGATAACATCACTTCGTTAGTATTTAATTCCCTTTTACAAACTGCTAGTGCAAGTTGGAGCATAGTGAGCTAATTAGTACATTGACTGGCGTCTTGCAAATTCAGTATGCAATCAACTTTGTTCGTTGCCTCTACAAAGAAGCAAGAAACTTATTATTGTTTAAGGCAAAGTAATGCCTAATTCCGTTTTACATTTATAGTTTCTATTAGTTTTATTGCGTTAGTAGCAAATTATAGCAATTTCAGCGTCAACCGTTACTAGAGCAGATAAAATTAAATCATAGCCGTTTTCGTCCTTACTTCTTATCCTCCAAGTAGCCAATTTTATAATAAGCTTTTTACTAGGTGCAGAAAAAACAATTTCAACGTCGTTCCAGTCTTTATCCTTCAAGTTAGGCCTTTTACTAGTCACGGTCAGTTTATTTACGAAATCTGGTTTATTTTACGAAATAATTCACATAGGTGCATCCACTAACCTCTATATTTACACTTGTATATATAGAGGTCAGTGGCTGCATCACAGTCTTATTTAAATGAATTTGAATATCAAGTATGGAATTTTGACATCAAATGTCAAATTTACTAATAATATGTACATACATACTACATATTATTTCGCACATGTTTCACAGGACTTCTTTAATAGAACAAAAATACTCTAGTTTAAACCACTACTTTTTACTTGGTGAAAATACACTCGGTCCTGCTGAGATTACGCGTTTCTAAAATAGAATATTTATCTTCTTATTACTATTTATTTGTTTTTATGCAGGACCGTAATATTATATGATACCTAATTCTATATAATTCCATATGTCTGGAAAAGCAATATCAAAGATAAAATTAATATCTTATCTTAAACTTTTAGGTAAGACCTCAATTCATGACATACTTTGCAGAACGGTTGATTTAGAAAATCAGATTACGTTTTGAGGTCAATAACCCCGTGATTGGTCTATTTCCAGAAGTATGGAAAATAGCTGCGTGATTTGTCTGAGAGTATTTATTAATCTGGTTTTGTAGGTGTTATAAAAATAAACTAGGAGAGAAGTCGAAAAATATCTACATAAATAGCGCGCAGTACTTTCTAAATGGACTTAGAAATTTTCTATCATTATCAAAATGACGTGATTCCAGCATTTATATAGCATTGAGTGACAAACAAGCACACAGTCCACCTGATGATAAATGGACGCTGTAGCTCATAGATATCTACATCTATCCTCAATTGAGAATCAAAATGCAAATGCGTTGTCACCCCTGAGGACTAAGATGGAATGCCTCGATTCCACTTAAAAGGGTCTCCAGTTCTCTACACTCACCACACGAAAAACAGCAGCATTATCCTGCTATGTTACGCTGATATTCTGTGACAGGTGTCCTCCTGCACAAGTCGAGCCGACCCATTCGTGCTAAAACTATAATTTAACTGCAGCGTGCCTCTACCACGTACATGTAATTTGAATTTTGTGTAATGTTTGCTATTTTGTGTAGTGTCTTAAAACTTGGTCAATTGTCCATTTTAAATTAAATTCATATTTTTAGTATTTTAAAATATAACAAATAAGATAATAATTTAACTATTAAAAAGTACGACGTCACTGGACTATAGTTTCTTACAATTTCTATTAAAACATTTGTTTTCAAACAGTTCTTAAACAGTATTTAAATTACCCTTCGATCAACAATACCAACTAGATAACGGGCCACGTACAAAATCATAGCTAAATACTGTCCGCATGAATGTAAACTATGAAAAGACATAAATTAAATAACATTTAGTGTGTAATCAACCTTAAGTTATAACAAATAAAGTTCTTTTTCCCGTTATTGCCTTGCGAGCTACACTCTCACGTGCAAGAGCTTACGCCTCATGTGCGCTCTTATTTACTGAGATGGATTTCTTGCGTTGACCCGACATCTAGTTGGTATTGTTGATCGAAGAAATTACCCTTAATAATTGCCGACAAACATCACATATTTATGGGTACATGCTATGCCGTCTCAACACCTAGCTCTAAGTAGACTAAAATGTAACTATTCTTAAATTTGCATGACAATTATAAGTCAAACACGAGGACGTACCATTATGTTAACATCTTTGTACTACCATGTTTAAAGCAAATAAAAAATTTCTGATTTCACCTCTTGCTCCTTTTCATCAAGTCTTTAAAAGCCTACTTGAGCCTATTACAAGGAAAGAGAAAAAAATTCCGTAATTGCTGTATTTATCTGTCTCTTTCAGGCCGCCAAGCAAGCACTGCAAGAGATGGTGGTGCTCCCTTCGCTTCGACCGGAGCTCTTTACTGGTCTGCGATCACCAGCAAAGGGTTTGCTGCTTTTTGGACCACCGGGGAATGGTAATGTCTTTTGGAGCACAATAATATTTCATCTTAGATCGAAAAAAAGTACATAATTTTTATTTTTATAGGATTGGGTGACACGAGCACACAGTCCACCTGATGGTTACATCTATCCTCGATTACGAATTAAAATGCAGATGCGTTGTCACCCGTGAGTACTAAGATGGAATGCTTCATTTCCAGCGAAAAGGGGTCTCCGGTTCGTACACTCAACATATGAAATGCAACTATTACACGCTGGTATTCTGTGAGAGCGTGACCCTTGCCCGGTCGAGCCGACCCATTCGTGCTACAACTATACTACTACTATAACTGCAGCATGGCTCTACCGCGTATAACGTTATATTAGCATTATATAGCATTGCATATTATTTTGAGTCATCTATGATCTCACTCTGCAGTAACTGTTTTTCGATCCTCTAAAACAATTGTTGCGCAGTGACCTGTCCTTCCGAAGAACGAGGCCACGATCTTTTTCCAACGCTTCGACCTCTCTTCACTTTAGTTGGCAACTCCACGGAAGGAAACACCCAGACAGCAGACTGTCTTAGTTTCAGGATCATAACAATAAATCCAGCTTTCGTCACACTCCGTTAAATCTTTGAACCATTTCACGACACCAATCAACACGACGGAGTTTTTGGGCCTCTGTCAAATTATGAGGTATCCACCGGGCACAATACTTCCAGACCGCTAAATGTTCATGGAGGATTTTGTGCACTTGACTCATACCAATGCCTAAGATTGTCCGAATCTGCTGATAAGTCACTCTTTTGTCAGTCTCTATAATACGCCGCACAACACTGATGTTATCTTCAGATGTCGTCATAGAAGGCTGTCCCTCACGAAGATCATCGGTGAGATTACTGCGACCACGTTTAAACTCATTAAACCATTTGTAATCAGTGACACGATATGGGGCTTCACCGTGAAAGGCCAATCGAAGACTATCATAACTTTCTTGTTGACTTAAATGACATCGAAGGTCATAAAAAATCATTGTACGAAAATTTTCTCATATTAAATTCATGCTGACGTGACACAGACATTTTTCAATTTGCCGCCAAATCGTAAAAAAAATACAAATTAATAAAATACACACACAATATGGGCAGAGTTCCATTTTCAAAATTTGAACTTATTTTTTTTATGATATCGTTTACAAGTGGCCAGTTCTAAAAACTTTCAGTGTCGCCTTCGTACACTCCAATTTTCATTTAAAAAAAATTACGAATATAAACTTCATGAACTTTTTTAAGAGTTATATGTGAAGTACATAAAAATTTTAAAATTCCAAATTAGTGTAAAACACGATATTTTATGTGGGGCTAGCTAGGGGCTATCTCCTTAGGATCCTTGAATTTGTTATTTTTAAGGAATTTTGTGTTTGTTCGTAGGTAAGACGCTGTTGGCTCGTTGCGTGGCGGCAGAGTGTTCTGCGACGTTCTTCTCTATATCCGCGGCGACGCTGACCAGCAAATACGTTGGTGACGGAGAGAAGATGGTGCGCGCGCTTTTTCAAGTTGCCCGCGAGCTGCAGGTGAGGGTTGTTTCTTTATCTTACTCGGCCTTTACAGCCCACGGCTGCGCATGGAACCCATTGTTATAAGTTAATAATCTTCATAGCGATGTTTCGCATATATTATAAAAGTTTATATATCGCCATTAGACATGTGTCAATCGTGAATGATTCGTTCATTTTACCCGGGTCGCTTTAAAGTATTGCTGATTGCAACAACATTTTTGAACGTTCCAGATCAAACGAATGATAGGACCTACGAACAAACTATTAGTAACTAGTAAATGACCGACATTATCGAGTGGGTTTCACAAATCATGGAGTGCTGAAATTCGAAATGATCCGTTTGAATGATCGGGTCACTAGAAATGAATGAATGACACATGTCTATAGTTGACTCTTACCTGACCCACGGGGTAGGATAAGATGATGTATTCTCTGATTTATATTAATACTTTATTTGAAGCGTATATTATTTTTATTTAACTACACAGCCGTCAATAATATTTGTGGACGAAGTGGACTCGTTGCTTTGCGAGCGGTCAACTGGCGAGCATGAGGCTTCCAGGCGGTTGAAGACGGAGTTCTTGGTGGAGTTCGACGGTCTGCCAGCCACCAGTGCGGAGAGACTTATCGTGATGGCAGCCACCAATAGACCGCAGGAGTTGGATGAAGCAGCGCTACGGTATCTAAATCCTTTTTTTTTTTTTGATAAACGAATTGCATGATATTTTAATGTTGTTTGTAACCAATCAAATACCATAGTTTTCATTAATTCTTACCTTAATATCCAGTATTTAAAGGGGAACATGAGCGAGGATGGAAGATAGGTTGGAATTCAATGTCAAAAATGCAGGAATTGTCATAATTTTGATACTTTATTTCAGTTTGATTTTTTGAGCAAAAATTATTATTTATTGAATACAACCAATTTTAGAGATGTTACTTATATCAATCTGTACTTATATGATAAAAATCCTTAAAATAAGTTTTATTCAATGTCCATTATTCGTGTAAATATAACATATATAATATATTAAAATATAACATATATAATTTATTAAAATAATTCAATCCCCATAATCTAGTTTTCAGTATCTCTCCTGAAATATTAGCACGGCTGGTGTACAGAGCAATGAATGTTACCAGTTTGCGACATATCATTGATATGCAGAAGAAACAGCGTTAGAACCATCACCAACGCTGTTTCTTCACTTTTTCATGCAGCTTTGTGGAACACTAGCGTTTATAGACTTGTACTAAGAGCGTGCTGCAAAACTTAACTCTCTTATAAACTCCCACACACTTTATTATAAATAGCGCGCTATAACATAGTGTATTTAATAGCGCGCTAGAAATTTATAGTCGTGTTTCAACATATGACTGATTGCATGACATTCTCATTTAAATGTAGAAAAATTGAGTCTTATCTTTAATATATATATATATATATATATATATATATATATATATATATATATATATATATATATATATATATATAGCGTTTATATAAATATATATAATATTTCTTCAACTGTTATTATAAAAAACATTCAAATTTCGTGTAAAAAAAAAAAAAATTATAATAGTATATCACAACATAAAATTTACCTTCTTATTCTAACGATATTGTAGCAGTTTTTCATTGCCTAAAAACACGGACAAAAAGACATTTTCTAAAAATAAATCCTAGCTAGATCGATTTATTATCCCCGAAACTCCCTGGACACTAAATTTTATGAAAATCGTTGGAGCCGTTTCCGAGATCCGAAAAAAAAACGTTTAATAGTATAGGATATCGCCTGCACGATTCGTTATAGATGTGTGCGCCATTAAAGAAATGAGCGTCCGCGAGCATCTTATTGCAAAACGGTTTACAAAGTACGTATGCTTGTTGCTATAGAATGATTGGTACAGGTTAAGCATTTGAATCTTGTTCTTGTTTCATTCTACAGTTTATTTGGAAGCGCGTGTATATGTCGATATAGAATGATAGAGCAATTTGAACCTTATGTTTCTATACACTACAGATGGTTTTCGATTTGTACGTATCCGTGTTGCTGCTAAATGTGTACGTACCATAACGTTAATTTGGAATATTGAGTGTTCTATATTCCTGTAAATGGTTCCCGAACCGTTGTCGCTGTATAATGATAAAGCAATTTGAATCTTATATGCTAGTGCAGACGGTTCCCAAATCGCGCCCACCTGTCGCCATATTATGATATACACTATACGAAATACAAACCCTGTATCGTTCTGCAGACAGATCTAGAAGCGCCTGTCCGTGTTACTTAAGATGTCATAAAGAAATTTAAGCCGTTTATTATTCCAAAAGGTTATTTCACGTATACTCCATTATGGTAAAGCATTTAGAGCGTTACGTGCTTGTGACAGTTTATAAAGACGGTTTATGAAGAAACTTATGTGCCGACAGCTCTCGAAATGCATACACGTGCTGATATACAGGTTGGTCCAAACAGTGAGGTTATAAAAATCCGGGAAACAAAGCGAAGGTAGTCAAATAAGAGATCCAAATAAACGTAAACGTGAGTAGTGGTTGCACGCGGGAAAGCAGTGAACGACTGGCGGGACCGAGCGAGGTAAAAAAGAGACGCGGTTGGTGTAGCGCGGGGCGCAGGGTTCGGCCTGGTAACAAAATGGAGCGCAAAGCAGGAATGTTTACCTGAGCCTTTGTTTAAAATTCTTTGTGTGTTTGTGACTGAATGTGCTATCATTTAGTTTGAGAGAAATAAAAAAAAAACATGTAGTTTGTAGTAAAATGATACCTTAATAAATGTCACGTTTTAACAATAAGTAGTTTTCTTTGCTAACCTGAAGCATTTACTATCTTAGTTTAGCCCTAGAAATGATAAAAAGATTTTTTTAAATCAAATTAACTAATCAGGTAGTTTCCTGCCTGAGTAACTTCAGAAGTCTGTAACAGAAAAACTGGTGTCATTATGAAAGATTAAGGTACTGCCAAGTTTTTAAAATTAATTTTAAAATTACGAAATCATTTATTATTTATTCTATTTTTCATTTTCTGTTGAAAATTCAGGCCCCACTCTCCTGGCAGAAAATTTTTAAGTTTCGATTAAAATTATTGTATCTTCGGTGAATGTTAGGAAGCTAATTATTTTATGCATAATAGGGCAACTCAAAACTACTGCTACAAACAAAAAAAACTTGGAGAAAATCTCACAATTACATTTTTTTTAATGTTAGGCTGTTTAGGGTGAACATTTTCAAAAAAAAGGAATAAAAAATCATAACTCAAAAACTACAAAAAAATCGCGGAACATACATAGGGTATTTTCGGATACCCCTAGGTGTGAGGAATCAAAAAAAAATTATAACCTCACTGTTTGGACCATCCAGTAGAATGATAAAGCAATTGGGACACCATGTATTTGTATAGACGATTCATAAATCGCGTGTACGTATCGCTATAAAACAGTAAAAGCAGTTTAAACCTTTTATACTATGTAGACGGTTCTCAACGCGTGTACTTATCGCTATAGAAGCATTTTAAGCCTTATGTGCTTGAGCAGACGGTTCCCGAAGCGCGTGTATGTATCGCTGCCGGACATTCGCACCCGCTGCGCGCTGCTGCGACGCGTACTCGCGCGAGGTGCGGCAGCGGCGTCGCTGGCGGACGAGGAGCTGGCGCGGCTGGCGGCGCTCACCGATGGCTACAGCGGCAGCGACCTCACTGCGTTGTGTCGGGACGCTGCGCTTGGACCCATCAGAGGTCAGTGGAGACTCCACCTCTCACCCGCAGGATGATGCCGTCGCAGCGGTAACATTATTTGTTGTACCATCGGCTGCTCCGGCAGCGACCTCACCGCGCCTTGTCGAGACGCCGCGCTAGGTAGGACCCATCATAGGTCAATGGAGACTCCACCTCTCACCTGCAGGATGATGCCGGCGCAGCGGGAACATTATTTGTTGTACCGTCGGCTGCTCCGGCAGCGACCTCACCGCGCCTTGTCGAGACGCCGCGCTAGGTAGGACCCATCAGAGGTCAGTGGAGACTCCACCTCTCACCTGCAGGATGATGCCGGCGCAGCGGGAACATTATTTGTTGTACCGTCGGCTGCTCCGGCAGCGACCTCACCGCGCTCAGTCGGGACGCCGTGCTCGGACCCATCAGAGGTCAGTGGAGACTCCACCTCTCACCTGCAGGATGATGCCGGCGCAGCGGGAACGTTATCTGTTGTACCGTCGGCTGCTCCGGCAGCGACCTCACCGCGCCGTGTCGGGACGCCGCGCTGTGGACCCATCAGAGGTCAGTGGAGACTCCACCTCTCACCCGCAGGATGATGCCGGCGCAGCGGGAACGTTATCTGTTGTACCGTCGGCTGCTCCGGCAGCGACCTCACCGCGCTCAGTCGGGACGCCGTGCTTGGACCCATCAGAGGTCAGTGGAGACTCCACCTCTCAGCCGCAGAATTATGCCGTGGCAGTAGAAAGCATTGTTTGTTGTACTGACCGCCTATGTCTCAGCCAGTTTAAGGAACGACGATGATGAGATCCAAATTGGCGGCTATCTATATTGAATATTTTATGGCAAAAATAACTTGTACCCAAAATAAAGTAGATGACTTGCTCAACTTTATCCTTTAATCTGTCTTATCGTATTTTTTGTTTATTGCAGAATTAGATCCCGAAGAAGTTAAATGCCTGGATCTGTCACTGGTGCGCAGTATTACATTCCAAGACTTTATGGACTCGTTGAAGAGGATCCGGCCGTCCGTTTCACCGCACAGCCTCGTTGCCTACGAGAAGTGGTCCGTGCAATACGGGGAGTTAGGAGTATGAACACAGGTAAGTGAATCCGGAAAATTATTTATCATATCATTTAAATTTAATTAGAAGCAAAGAAAATATATAAATTCGAACAACATGCTCACTGGCCGGATGATGACTTTGAATGTAATTTATTACGATGGCCATTGGATGCCATAGACTCATTGCAGCTTAACACTATATTTTGTTTTTTGTAATAGTCTTGCCTAGGTCACAGTCTAACTACTACTTACAGTCGGTCATCGAAGGCGTCTAGACTGGGCAATCGTGCGATGCGGTGCGTGGTAAGATGCGAGCCGAGCGCTCCCGAGCGGTCATTGGTCGCTCGGGAGCTGTCCGCTAGGTTTGTCCAGTTACGCTAATAAATTAAAATGTTTCACACTGTGGTCAGGTTAGGTAATGGTCCCCATTAAAATATAAGGAATTAAAGGTTTTATCACTTTTCACATACACAGGAATTTGTTTAATTTTTAATTAATATGTTTAAACGTGAAATAAAATAAAATCAGTTTTTATTTTTTTAATACTTCTCGTTCTGATAACCCTAGCCATTTATTGTTTATGTCGGCTTTTCTGACAACATCAAACGCGATGGCGTGCCTAGATAGTCAGGTAGTCACTCTGGATCAGTACCATCCTCTCACCCATTTCTGCTGCCAAGCAGCAGTCACTTTCCTTCAGGACTTATTCGTATGTCATTCTAATATTAAGCCTAAGGTCTAGATCTTCTAAAAACTTCCAGAAAACACTGAATCTTCTATCCATCGATTTTCATTAGGTTATAACTATTTTTTTCGTACGCTCAAGTTGGTGGAGAGATAATTTGCCAGCATTTGTCTTGTTATCCGTTAATAATGTGGGTGTCTTCGAGGCTAGCATGAATATGAATAGGCTTTTGTCAAACTAAGTCGGTGCTCTTTACTATCTTTCGCTGCATTACCACTTACCGGGTGTGATAGTTACAGCCTATATACGTCCCCACTGCTGGGCACAGGCCTCCTTTCATTTCTGAAAGGGTTTTAAGTCAAGGAAGTGTTCCCCGCGCTGCCTCAATGCGTGTTGGCGAACTTCACATGTCTTTGAAATATTTTTTTGTCTTATTCCTCATACATGCAAGTTTTCTCACGATGTTTTCCTTCACCGCAGAGCACGTGGTAAATCAGCACTTAAAATTGCAATTAACAATTTCATTGGTGGCGCCGGCGATCGAACCCGGGTTACTCGCGTTCTGTTATATTTACAGCGAGTGTTAGCCATCTGAGCTACCACGGCTCAAAAAATCACTGGCTTATAATAGTAAAAAAATGTTTGTTATAGATATTTTTTCTTCAAAGGCCCGTATCAGTCTACTAATGCTATAATCTTCACGCGCGATGGGCGCAATGTCATTTGCAGTACTAAGTATCCTGCAATATTAACGTTGTTGTCATCGTCAATCTAGGTATTTGCTCATATATGCTAGTACTAAATTATCCTACTTGTCTAAAGTGACAATATTTTAGTACAGCGATTTTAATTCGTCGACTAAACGTAACGATTTTTTTCAACATAGAAAAGACTCGGCATTTTTATTCTGTAATAAATAAAATATTTTTGTTTCAGGTATTTTTAAAATAAAGGAAAGCACTTGTGGTTTAAATAAGGTGTCCATGGATCGTTATATTGGGGTCATGAGATTGAAGGAAAGTATAAGTTGAGGTATTAAAACTTCATTGTGTAGGACAGGACGGACATCCCTAAATGAATAAATTTTAATAGTAACCCGTTATTTTTCCCTAACAATGAAATTAATAAAACTTTCCATTTGCAGTTTATTACGCTGTTATAGTTAAAAAATTACGGATAAAAATTCTACAATAACGTCTAGTCAGTGTGATCAGCTTTGACCATGTTTTTTTAATAATCTAAATTAACCACTACGTGATAATGGCCATATACCAATGTAATAAGAAATAATAAAATAGTGACGAAAACATATAAATAATACATAGCAATATTAGATAATAATAGAGCTGCTAGCTTTATAACTGCATCTGATGGAAGAATTCCTTCCATCATGTGGATAGATAACACAAAGGATTATTTGATTTGTATGTTATAATACCATGAACAAATAGAATCATCCAATTTTAGACATAAGCTGTTGGCGATATATATATATATATTATATAGTATTTTATAACCTTAGTACCTTACTGTAATAGGATTCCACACATAGTTTAATTAAAACGCCAATTCCCTCCTGGTTTTCTTAAGGTTGGGAAGTTAGTATCGTAAATTCGGACCCTACATTTTGACATCTGCTGTGAGCCTACCATCTCCAAACGCAAATATTAACCGTTTTGTTACAAAATTAGTTTGAATTATAAACTCAGACTTAATAAAGAAGTCCCGTGGAAAATATGCAAACTAAAGTGTTATGTATGGAATTTGACAGCAAATGTCAAATTTCGCTGATCTTTTTTCGCAATAAAGTCTCTACTTTAAACCCGAGACCGGCAATAAACCACGTTTTACTTTAATAATACGGTAAAAATTTTTGGACTGTTTACAATGAACTTTAGTAATGTTATAAACACTACTGGCTTTCTTAAGTGTTAAGTTTTAGTTACAATTAATTATTAATGTTTAATAACATGGATAATAATTATTATTTTAATAAGTGCTCGAATATTCGTTAATCAAGGGCAGGACAAATATAGACCGTGTTAAATATTGCATTTATCAAGTTGAATTTTAACAAAAAATATTATTGAAATAAATTGACAATTCAAATGTGTTTTTTAAATTGATTAGTGTGCTGTGGACTTGAGTTTGCGTGTGTCCTTGTTATTAATAATTTGTTTTAACTCGTATTATTAAATTAGCTAATTGTTTTAACCATTTTTGTTTATTCCATTTGATATTTTTTCGCGATACGTTTTATTGTTACCTTATTAATATTAATTTTAGTTCTGTTAATTTTGTTTTAATTTATATCTTGCCGTCGTTGTGGACTATGTTGCTGCAAATCTTATAAAAATAGAAAATGTTTATTATATATGAACGGGTACCTTACAAAGACTAATATAAGCTTCGGCTACATTATTTGCTCAGAATAAACGATCAGCCGCATATCGAGAGTGAGGAGATAAACTAAATATTCTTTTAGATAGCTAAAACGCGGGTGATAATAATCCCAACTTTGAAAAAAAAAAACAGGAAAAAAACACTTAGGGAATAAAAGCGAGAGAGTAAATGTTTAATGTAAATACGTTAAATATGAAGTATTTGTAAGGCTTAATGTAAACTAACTTCAAAGTGTTTGTGGATAGTTACTGAATTCAAATTTTACGCCGTATTCGTATTGGAATTAAAATTATTGTCGATCTCTGTTTTTCGTGAATATAATGTTTTCAATTGTTGTGAATAGCGGGTAATTACAACGCGCAAGTTTTCGCATACGTGTTATATTATAATGAGTGTTTTATACCTTTTTTTTAATGTGGAGCAGGTTTTACAAAGACGCATTTTTCTGTGTTGCTAACTGGAAAAATAAGGGTATTTACGCTTTATCTACAATTGTGCGATTGCTTGTGAGAGTGATAGTAAGCTTTCGTGCACAAAATCACCTTTTATATAACTTTTTAAATAATGCAGAATTTTTTATACCATGGTGTATTATTTATAAGTATAAATCGCTGTTTTAATGTTAATAAAAAAGCCCTTTTTCTACTGACGCATATTTAAGAAAGAATTAATCGCTTAATTGTGTTAAATTATAAGTTTGCAGCCTGTGCACGCGTAAAGCAATCACGCGCGCACTGCATGAAGTCTTAAAGTCAAAAAGTGGGCTTCTCTATATTCCGTGAGATACTGAACATGATGTGTATGCACGTAAGTGTGCAATGAGGCAACAAAAAACCTCACTTGCCGCAAACCAACTTGGTCAAACCAAAGGTTGGTTTTACCAAGTTGGTTTGCGGCAACCGTCTTATTACAAAAAAAAAGTAATTTATAATTTTTATCAGTTATAAACTGGAGTCACTTTTCAGTTTTAAATTAGAAATCATTAGAGTCTATTTCGATAAAAGTCCCCAATAGTAGTCACGTAGGAAATATGCGAACTGAAATGTAAAGTAAGGAATTTGACAGCAAATGTCAAATATACGAATATTGGCGCTGCGACTCTGAAACTTCTTTTGTGACAATAACTCTTCTTTAAATCCAAAATTATCAATAAACCACGTTATGTAATAAGACCGTAAACTCCTTATTAATAAATACGTAATAATTTTACGACCAGAAATACCCTTGGGACTTGTTCAAATTATCATTAAATATAGACCTTATTGCTTTGTATTAAACACATAGCTCAAGTTTGTCCAACGCTATTATTGTCGTAATGTTTTTAGGTTTTATTAATAAGCGTAAATGTCAATGTAATGATTTGATATGTTAAATCTGTTACAAGAACGGAAGTCACTTAAATTATTTTCTACCTCAGTTAATAATTATTGTTCTGCGGTCTCTATTCGTTGCGCACGGGCACGCACCGAACGTCAATGTCTTAATCTCTTGCTTAGCTTAAGATTAGAAAATATTTAGGTGTTAAACAAAAAATTGCTCAGTAGCCCATATATTTCTTAGTAGTTACAAATAACCAGTTTCAAGTAAGTTTTCTTTAATCAGTAACTTCTTACGGTAGATGTGACATAATAAAACAATTAGTTACAATGTTAAACGTAGTTGCTAAAGAATCTTTAGCTTTTTATATAGTTAGGTTTCCCTCTATATTTCCGAATATTTCTAACGAATAGACCTTTCGTAATGATATAAAATGAATAATGCGACATGTAAACATTTAATAAAATATTTTTTCTACGTCCACCAAAGTGCGACCAATTTATTAGTCACGTGAATCTATTCAGTAAAATGTCATTTACTATTATTATTGGTCAATTTTATTTAAAATTATACATACAAAAATTTTTAATAAAATCATATAAAAGAAAGAGATATTTAGATATTTT